TTTATAACTGGCCAGAATTCTGCAGAAGGAACCAATTAATTGTTTCCTTTGAATCAAAGACACGCAATTGGGAACATTCCACTTCGTAAAATCATGAAGCAATTTTTTCAGGGGAAGTTAACCTCAGCCTGGAGCTATGCTTCCAAACTGCAGTGTGAGGCTGAGAATGGACCACAATGAAAATTTAGGAATTTTTACATTGGCTTGGACTGTTTTTTTTTTTTTTTAAGATTCATTTATTTATGGGCTTTCCTAGTAGCTCATTGGTAAAGAATCTGCCTGCAATGCGGGAGACCCCAGTATGATTCCTGGGTCAGGAATTTTTTTTTTTTTTTAAGATTCATTTATTTATGGGCTTTCCTAGTAGCTCATTGGTAAAGAATCTGCCAATGCAGGAGATGCAGATTTGACCACTGGGTCGGGAGGATCCCCTGGAGAAGGAAATGGCAACCCACTCCAGTATTCTTGCCAGGAGAACCCCAAAGACAGAGGAGCCTGGTGGGCTACAGTCTATGGGGTTATAAAGAGTCGGACACGACTCAGCGACTAAAAAACAACAACAATGGCTGCGCTCTTCATTGCTTGCAGTGAGCAGGGGGTGTCTTCATTGCTGTGTGAAGGCTTCTTATCGTGGTAGCTTCTGTTGTTGCAAAACACAGGCTCTAGGCACGCAGGCTTCGGTATTTGTGGCACTTGGGCTGAGTAGCTGTGGCTCGCAGACTCTAGAGCACATGCTCACTGGTGTGGTGCATGGCATAGTTGCTCTGCAGCATGTGGGATCTTCCTAGACCAGGGATCAAGCCCAGATCCCTTGCATTGGCAGGTGGATTTCTTTATCACTGAGCCAACCAGGGAAGCCCTGGACTGGTGTTTTTTGATGATGACCCTGGGTAGGATTTTCAGTTACTGAAATGAATCCACATTTGGCAGGGACTAGGAGATTTTCATCACCTAAGAGTGATGGGGAAGCTGGGGCCCGTGTTGTGCCAGGTGTGTCACCCAGGGAAAGAGAAAGGAAGCACCAGGGCAAGTTAAAACAGGTGTCATGAGAAGGAACATTGTTCTCTGTGTCCTGCAGAGTCCAACATGTGCGATCAAACAGCTTTATCTGCCCATCTCCACGACTGAAACAGGCTCAGAGGGTGGTCCTGCGATCCCCCTTCCTTACTGACTTGGACTTACCCTGAAAGGAGGGACTGAAAGCTCTGGTTTCTTGTTGTTCTGCATTTGATAAAAGCATTAAGGCTCAGCTTAACATTTCCTAAGGCTTCCCTTAGGAAGCTTTACCAGCTCAGCTGGTAAAGAATCTGCCCCGTAATGTGGGAGACCCCAGTATGATTCCTGGGTCCAGAAGATCCCCTGAAGAAGGGAAAGGCTACCCACTCCAGTATTCTGGCCTGGAGAATTCTTGGGGTCACAAAGAGTCGGACATGATTGAGCGACTTTGACACTTCTCTAACATCTCCTAGAATATATTTTTCAAATTTCCTTCCTATCCTACATAATGGTGATGTTTCATAAACAGATATTCATTGAAGTTTGTACACTTCTGAAAAATTAAAATACCCATGTAAATATTCATTGGGTTAAGTAGCTTAAGATAGTTCTTCGTGATGGAAAGTCAGGAAGTTATTAGATATGAGGTTTACACCATGATAAAAACACTGAAAAATACTATTTGTCCATGGTGTAATTACCATTAAAAACCCTTACATTTATGGCAGTGTATAAAACCGTTAGCATTTGGGTGGGTATTTGAATTATGAATAATGTTTGAGTTTCCACTTCTTTGTATGTTCCAGATATTTACTCATTCCTTCTCTTCTCCCTCCCTCTCTTGGTCCTTCCTTCCTTTCTCTATATTTACTGAGCACCTATTCTGTGTGGCAACCTCTTCCAGGCCCCATGAAGCCATCAGTGAAAGGACACAGTAATTGCAAACCTGTGTTTGTGTTGGGTGGGACGTGGATCAGAGAGAGAACTGGGAGAGGGAAAAGAATTAGATGACACTGAATGCAGGTGAAAGGAGAGGGAGTGCGAGCTGCCCCGGTTTTCTGTCCCCCTTTGTAGGTTCTCTCTGCATAAGGTCATCTCCCTGCACTTTACCCAGGCATCTGCTCACTGGGTCTTCTCAGGTAGGAGTTCTCCAACCACCCTAGTGCCTCTCCTGTCCTTTCCTATACTTCCCCGAGGCCCTCCCCTCCCTTAAAAAGAACAGGATGGCCTTGTGATGTGAATTTATATCATTTGTCCACTTGTTTATTGTCTTCCTTCCTCAAAACGTCAGCATGAGATAGGGCCTCTGTTTCGTTCATTGCTGTATTCCTGCCATTTAGAAATGTCTGTGGGCTTCCCAGGTGGTGCTGGTGGTAAAGAACCCTCCTGCCAATGCAGGAGATGTAAGAGATATGGGTTTGATCCCTGGGTGAGGAAAATGGCCTGGAGTAGGAAATGGCAACCCATCCCAGTATTCTTGCCTGGAGAATCCCATGGACAGAGGAGCCTGGAGGGCTACAGTCCATGGGGTCACAAAGAGTCGGACACAACTGAGTGATTAACACTTTGCTCTAGTACACAGGAGAGGTTGAATAAATACTCACTGGTTCAATGAATGATTCCCTACTCTATATCCTTACCTTTGACACTTTGCTGAGTTCCAGATGTGTACTCCCCATGCTGACTAATCCTTTAAAGTGTATTTCAAGCATACTATGAACCCCAGATATTCAGAGCTTTTTGTGATCAGTGTCCTTCTCCAGCCAAGTCTGCTTTGCTTCTTATGAAACCCTCTCCCTTCAGGTCATTTCTCTGTCTCTCAAGTCTTCACTGTGCATCTATATTCTTCTGTCACCACATCCTGTTTGCCTGGCTCCCCAGGAGACACTTAAGAAAATCAGGGATCAGGAGGTTATCAAAGGATTGAGGTGTGAAGGATATGTCCTGGGGTCGTGCATGCTGTCACACTTTAGCAGAGGAATGAGAGCTCACATTCTACTTGTTGATACTCTTTTAAAGAAATTTATTTTATTTTATATTGCAGTATTCCCTGGTAGCTCAGCTGATAAAGAATCTGCCTGCAATGCAGGAGACCCCGGTTTGATTCCTGGGTTGGGAAGATCCCCTGGAGAAGGAAATGGCAACCCACTCCAGTATTCTTGCCTGGAAAATCCCATGGACAGAGGAGCCTGGTGGGGTACAGTCCATGGGGTCGCAAAGAGTTGGACACGACCGAGCAACTAAGCACAAATAGTCAATTAACAATGTTGGGTTAGTTTCGGGGTACAGAAAAGTGAATCAGTTATACATACACATGTATCTATTCTTTTTAAAATTCTCATTTATGTTATTGCAGAGTATCTAAGCACAAATAGTCAATTAACAATGTTGGGTTAGTTTCGGGGTACAGAAAAGTGAATCAGTTATACATACACATGTATCTATTCTTTTTAAAATTCTCATTTATGTTATTGCAGAGTATTGAGCAGAGTTCTCCATGCTATACAGTAGGTCCTTTTCGGTTATCTATTTTAAATATAGCAGTGTGTACATATCCATCCTAAACTCCAATCTATCCTTCCCCTTTACCATTCTCCTCTGGTAATCATAAGTTACTTCTCTAAGACCTATTTCTGTTTTGTAAATAAGTTCATTTGTATCAGGATTCTGCATATGAGCATAGCATATGATACTAGTCTCACTCTGTCTGATACATTGCTTGTATCATCTTGTCTGATTGAAGAAGTGAATATTTGTCCATTAGAGTTTTCTGACCTGATTTTTATATTGCATTAGCCTATCTCCCTCTGATTGATTGAACAAACTTACTTTCCAAGCAGAGAAAGACCTGAATGATTTACAGCAACTTCACTTTAAATATGGTTGGAAGGAAGGGATGGAACAGCTGTAGGGGTGTTTTGTATCTTTATTACTGATAATGAGTTCTGAGTAATATTTCTTGTGTGTGGGAGGGGAGAAGTATAATTGAAAACCAGTAATTAATACCATCTTTGGGGTCAACACGAAAATTTAATTCTACCAAGTGTATTTAAACAAGAAGCACACAAGTTTACCTGTTCACGACAGAGTCTTTGAGCTGCCCTAGTAGATGTTGCCTTTTTTTTTTTTTTTTTGCAACGTGTCTCATCCACACCTAGGAGAAGTTAGCCCGAAGAAAGGACATGTTCTGAAGGGTCATCAAGCCACATACACTTTCAAATGGCAAGGCCACGTTGGTCACTCGGGGGCGAGTCCATCGACTCTGAGAGCGTGCTTCTGATTTCAAGGAGCTTGCAGGCGCGATGGGTAACAGGCCACAACAACAGAAGACAATATTGCCGAGTTAAGACCGCGTGCCTTCTCATCTATCGCTTTCTGGCTGGCAGTCCAGCAGGAAACTGAATCGATCGATCGTCCTTTTGTGCCTTAAAAGCAAACAGGAAACGAAAGCGCGGAGGCACGGTTCTGCGGCCGCCTCTTTCTCCGCTGGTGCCCAAGAGGCCCCCGTCGATCTCATCCGGAGATGCCTCCAGACACTCACAAGTTCCTAGGGTTGAAGGAGACGGAGGCCCTGGAAAGGGCTAGTTTTACACTCACCGGCTCTTTGGAACTCGATCACGGAAAACACACGTCTTCTCTAAACCTTGTGGTAGTTGTTCGCGCGCAGCGCGGCAGCAGACGCGGGTAGGGCGGGGCGGGGCCAGCACCGAATCAACGACTAACCCGGGGGGCGGGGCCTCGGAGCGGGGCTTGGGAAAGGGCGGGGCCAGCAGCGACTCACCCGTGAATCCGGGAGGGGCGGGGCCTCGCGGGCGGGGCCTGAGAGAGGGGCGGGGCCAGTGGCGTCTGAAGTAAAGGGACAGGCCGGGTGACGGGCCCGGCGGGGAGCATGGCGAGGGCGCGGTGGCCCCGGCCGTGAGGACGCACCATGGGCGACAGGTGAGCGCGCGTCGGCGGGGGCCGCGGTCCCTCGTGGCTCCCGCTGAGGCCTTTCCTTCGCGCAGGTGGCTCTGGGTGACCGTGCTGCCCGGCTGCGCGGGCTGCAGGACCGTGGCGGTGCCAGCGTCCTGGACGGTGCGCGATGTGAAGCGGCGTCTCGCGGCGGAGACCGGCTTCCCCGCGTCGGAGCAGAGGCTGTGGCTCGGCGGCCGGCAGGTAGGGCGGGGACGGGCCCTGGGGTGGGGCCGGGGACCGGGCAGGGGCCTTNGGGGCCTGGGGACGGGGATCGGGGATGGGGGGGCCGGGGCCGGGGCCCAGGGACGGGGATCGAGGATGGGGGAGCCCGGGAAGGGGCCCTGGGACCGCGGGGCTTGGGAGTGGGGATCACGGGCGGAGGTGGAGGACTGAAGGACCGGGATCTGGGGGCGAGAGGCCTGGGACACGGGCCCCAGGCTCCTGCCCGCCTGGAAGTCATCCTTCTCTGAGAATAGGGATCAGATGAGGTGGCTGTGCTCCTGTCACTGCTCAGATTTCTGTCGATTTGCCTTTTCAGCACTGTATCCCCTTCTCCCTTTTTGTCTGAATCATCTTCACTTCCTGAAATTAAGATACTTTTTTGATGTACGGTATAGCAAGAGGTTTTTTTTTTTTTTTTTTGGTTTGCTTATTCGGAGCCATCACCTCTGAAGTGACTTCATCATTACTCATATTTTTCTGATTTTGTTATGCATTTGACTGGAATCTTGGTCAGTACCTTAGCCTTTTATGTTTTAGAAGTTTCCCCCCATCTTTGAAGCACAGAAATTTAGGGCTGAGAAGGTCTTCAGGCATACTCTATGTAAGCCATTATTTTGAGGAGTAAATTTATATGAAAACCTGCAAGATGCAAATGAATGACTTAATCAGAACTTTGGAAATCAGGAGTATTTCATGTTATATGTAACCTTTAAGACTGGTGGAAATACTGCAGTTTTCTTAAAGGAGGTGTAGTTTACTAAAACTTAACTTATTATTTAAACATCTTCACTTTTTAAGAGTTGAACCAGATACACAGGACTGCTTGAGTACCCAGGATGGCATTTCAAGCACTGGATTTCTTTACTGTTAATACCAGTACAGACATTGGGGACATGCTTGGCGCCTGTGATTTTTAATCTTGCAGTGTAATTCTGGCCTTCAGGGTGCCTGGTGCACCCTCCCGTCTCTTTCCTGCTTAAACAGGTTTCAGATTAGCCTGTTCCTCCAGGGATCAGTCCTCCTACTGCTTGGTCTCCAGGGTGTTTGATGGTTGTCAGTGACTGGATCAGGGCTCTGGATAGGACGGAGAACAGCTCCTCGGTCTTCCCTTTCTCTCTGCATCCACCCCCATCTCTTGACCTTCCTGCACATCCTCTCCTGGTCCTACTAACCCTAACCTCTTTGGTTGCTCCTCTGGGTTTGCTTTGTCATCTTATCCCCTAGGTATGGTCATATCCAAAGAGTCAGTTGTGGCTCAGTCTTGCCATTGGTAGGGTTTCTGGATGCCTCTCTGCAGAGCACCCAGGCAGGGTGGTGGGCGTGGGTGTGGTGTGCAGAGTGGTCAGATTTAGTGGGTGGGTGTGAAGTCTAGGTAGGAAACTTGTGCTCATGTAAGTGATGAGCTTCCAGACCTGCGTTGTAGAGTTGAAACCCAAAGGAAAGGATACATGGGGAGCTTTGTGAAAGATAGGGTTGTGTGGTACAAAATGGCCATGTATATTTGTGCAAACAGTGGGAGAACTGGTGGAGTGTTGGATGTAGAATAAAGGGGAAGGCCTTGCCAAGAATGTTCACAAGCCTTGGGCAGGACAGGAGGATAATGCTCAGCTGGCAGAGATGAGCAGGTCGGGGGTGGGGTTGACTCGAGTTTCAGTTTGCTTTATGTGTGTTTGTGCAGGACTTAAGCAGCTAGGACAGCACATGGAGAAGGGGGTGACCTAGCCCCTGTTTCTGTATTATCAGTGGGTCACAGGGGCCAAACTAAGTAACACGGTAGCCTCTATTTTCCTATACTAGTAGCAGCAGAATAAAACAAATTCTAACCAGTTGTACTGTTCATGGGGTTCTCAAGGCAAGAATACTGAAGTGGTTTGCCATTCCCTTCTCCACTAGACCACATTTTGTCAGAACTCTCTGCCATGACCCATCCATCTTGGGTGGCCCTACATGGCACAGCTCATAGTTTCATTGAGTTAGACAAGGCTGTGGTCCATGTGATCAGATTGTTTACTTTCCTGTGATTGTGGTTTTCATTCTGTCTGCCCTCTGATGGAGAAGGATAAGAGGCCTATGGAAGCTTCCTGATGGAAGAGACTGACTGAGGGGGAAACTGGGGTCTTGTTCTGGGTGGGGCCATACTCAGTAAATCTTTAATCCAATTTTCTGTTAATGGGCGGGGCTGTGTTCCCTCCCAGTTGTTTGATCTGAGGCCAAACTAAGGTGGAGGTAATGAAGATAATAGTGACCTCCTTCAAAAGGTCCCTGCATGCACTGCTACACCAAGTGCCCCCAGCCCTGCAGCAGGCCACCGCCGACCCACGCCTCTGCCAGAGACTCCTGGATGCTCATGGGCAAGTCTGGGTCAGTCTCTTGTGGGGTCACTGCTCCTTTCTCCTGGGTCCTGGTGCACATAAGGTTCTGTTTGTGCCCACGAAGAGTTTGTTTCCCAGTCCTGTATAAGTTCTGGCAGCTCTATGGTGGGGTTAATGGTGACCTTCTCCAAGAGGGCTTATGCTATACCCAGGACTGCTGCACCCAGAGCCCCTGTCCCTGTGGCAGTCCACTGCTGATCCGTATCTCCACAGGAGACACTCTCTGTCTCAGTCTCTGTGGGTCTCTGGGTCCTGGTGTGCACAAGGTTTATTTGAGTCCTCTGAGCATCTCTGGTAGGTATGGGGTTTGATTCTAAATGCGATTTCTCCCCTCCTACCATCTTGCTGGGGCTTCTCTGCCCTTTAGAAGCAGAAGATATTAAGAAGTGGTGGCAAGAATACACAGAAGAACTATACAAAAAAGATCTTCACGACCCAGATAATCGTGATGGTGTGATCACCAACCTAGAGCCAGACATCCTGGAGTGTGAAGTCAAGTGGGCCTTAGGAAGCATCACTACGAACAAAGCTAGTGGAGGTGATGGAATTCCAGTTGAGCTATTTCAAATCCTAAAAGAATGATACTGTGAACGTGCTGCACTCAATATGCCAGCAAATTTGGAAAACTCAGCAGTGGCCACAGGACTGGAAAAGGTCCGTTTTCATTCCAATCCCAAAGAAAGACAATGTGAAAGAATGCTCAAACTACCACAAAATTGCACTTATCTAACATGCTTGCAAAGTAATGCTCAAAATCCTCCAAGACAGGCTTCATCAGTACATGAGCTGTGAACTTCCAGATGTTCAAACTGGATTTAGAAAAGGCAGAGGAGCCAGAGATCAAATTGCCAATATCTGTTGGATCATTGAAAAACCAAGAGAGTTCCAGAAAAACATCTACTTTTGCTTTATTGACTATGCCAAAGCCATTNTGGAGAAGACTCTTGAGAGTCCCTTGGACTGTGAGGAGCTCCAACCAGTCCATCCTAAAGGAAATCAGTCCTGAATATTCATTGGAAGGACTGATGCTGAAGCTGGAACTCCAATACTTTGGCCACCTGATTTGAAGAACTGACTCATTGGGAAAGACCCTGATGCTGGGAAAGATTGAAGGCAGGAGGAGAAGGAGATGATAGAGGATGAGGTAGTTGGATGGTGTCACTGACTCAGTGGACATGAGCTCGAGTAAACTCCAGGAGTTGGTGATGGACAGGGAGGCCTGGCATGCTGCAGTCCATGGGGTCGTGAAGAGTTGGACACGACTGAATGACTGAACTGAACTGAAAACCAGGTCTAAGGTCTCTGCTGTGTAACAGTCTAGGGCATGGTGGTCCACAGACAGCTGTGGATCTGATCCTGAAGCTCAAGGGCTAGAGGTCAGGGCTGGGGTCATGAGTTTGGGAAGCACTTGCAGTGCCTTTCTCCTTTTGCATCTTGGTTAGCTCCCTGGGGACATGATTAATGTTTGCTGGGCAGTCAACTGTGTTCCACACACTGTTCTGCTGGTGACTTTGCCCATGTCATCTTGTTTACTACACAGGACAGCCAGCCTCATGAGAGAGTTGTGACTGGTCCATCCTGCAGAAGAGTAAAACTAAGAGTCAGAGAGATGAAAGATCCAGTCAGGATTCATACCCATGTGTGTCTGATTCCAAAGTCCACACCAGAAAGAACCTGTCAGGCTGTCAATCGGGAATAAATGAAAGTTAAATGTAAAGTTCTTTAAAACAAAGAGAAACTTAAAGTAGTAAAGGTGATCTTTGAACTCAAGTTTGGAGCTCTCACAGAAAACAGTCAGAGGGTGTAATTCTCTCCTGATGCAGGAGACGGGCTGTGACTTCTACTGAACTGGTGACCTTAGTGATGCCAACATGTGCCGTCAAGAAGGGTCTCTTTTACATAAGCGAACCTTTCATAGAAGTGGTTTTCTTTTCCTCTTTATCCAGTACTGCTCAGAACTTTTTAGATTTGAATTATTGGTGAGAATTCTAAATATTTCAGGTATACAAGAAACTGGTTTTGGTTGGTTATGGACTTAGGAGTGGGCACTTACAGTACTTGGTCCTCAGTCTTTCCAGGTCCCCTGCCATCTGCCTTCTCCTTGTCTCTCTTGCTTCTCCTGGTCTGGAAGAGGGATCTGTGTGTTGTTCCCTCCACCTCCTGTCCCATGAAGAGAGGGAAACTGCTCACTAGAGCTGTGTGTCGTCCTGACTCTTTCTCCTCCAGCCAAATCTGCTTGAGCCTCAAACTGGGATGTGGGAAGTATTGTTACCTTTCATTTAGTTCATCAGAAACATGCCGATCAACCCTTGAGTCTTGAGAGCCTCCTTCTGTTCTTGAAAACTGAACAAAGGAAAAAGTGTTGGGAAATTCAGATGCAGTTAATATTATGCTATTTGCTTCACAATTATTGTTTCATGGAAAATGAAAATGAGCATCGCTGAGGTTTTTAAAGGAGACTAGGGCTGACCTGAACAGAGACCCAAATGTTCAGGTTATTTTGTAATCATTCTGTTCTAAAAACAAAATACAAAGACTGAAATTGGCAACTTTTATGGTTTCATTGCCTCTGGAATTGGATATGACCAGCTTTGCTTGGTTGAGTGACTTAAGGTCTCAAGAGAGAGGCCCAAGCAGAACCCCCAGATCTTGGCGGGCTCAGGAGGGAACATGGGTATACTGCTGGGTTCTCTCTGCTGCTTGACTTCTCTTTGGGAGGATCACTGCCTGAGATAGGCCACTGATTACAATCTGCCAGAAGCATGCAGTGTCGGAGTCACATAGCCAGTCACATCTGTTGTCACTAACAGGGTTCTACACCGTGTGTTCTTCCTTTTCAAGTCCTCCTTAAGACCTGGAGACATGGTCCTATGTTACAGAGTTCTGCTTCCCTTCCTGCCATTCTTCTTTAAATGTACCTTAGCTAACTGAATTGGACTACTAATCCTTGGCTTATGCATAGCTCTCTTTTAGTCATCAATTAGTCATTAATAGAATGAACAGCCATGAACCCATCATCCAACTGAAGTACTGAAACAGTGTTAACAGTCTCTCTTGGCCTCAGTGCTTTTCTTCCGTGGCTTGTGTTCTTGTCTCTTTATTTGTAATTATTTAAGAAAAAATCAGGTGGCTCTGTAGTAAAGAACCCGTCTGCCAATGCAGGAGATGCAGGAGACGCTGGTTCAGTCCCTGGGTGGGGAAGATCCCCTGGAGGAGGAAACGGCAAGCCACTCCAGTATTCTTGCCTAGAGAATCCCATGGACAGAGAAGCCTGGTGGGCCACGATCCACAGGGTCGCAAAGAGTCGGACATGATTGAGCGACAGGTGCACGCACACAAGGAAGAGCCATTTACATTTTTAAATAAAATTTTTGACAAATTTTGTTCTCTGAAATACTCACTTCTTCAGAGCAATTTATTTCCTGATTAGAACACTTAAAAAACATTATTTAAGTGAAACAGAATGAGGTAAAGTTTTGAATTTATAGAAGTAGGAACTGTATTGCTTTTCACACGTTTTCTTTTTTTCAGTTATCTGACTGGATCAAGATTGGAGATTTGACCTCCCAGAACTGTCATCTTTTTGTAAACCTTCAATCAAAAGGCTTGAAAGGGGGAGGTATGCCATTGACTTTACTAGGATTCAATCCCATTTTTAATTGCATAAAGATAATGTTTTAAAAAGGAAATGAAAGTACATACCACTGGGATGTGATGAGGGCATGTCAGGGCCGGAGGAGCACACATGGGTGGAGTGAGCCTCTCCTGGGGTGAGTGGTCTGCGGGTTGGGTCCTGTGGGGCTTGGTGGGGGTGGGTCGTTGTACCAGAATGATGCAGATTAACTAAGCTGAGGTTTTGTCATCAGCACATATTTCATTTTTGCTTATAAACATGTATTTTTTTCTGTGCATCTGGGAAATTACTTTCCCTCCCCCGTTCTCCCTACACTTTTCTGTCCCCTGTCTGAAGGTGTCCTGGTTGGCCTGTCCTGAAAGTCTCCAGTTTAGGAGAGATGGAGGGAATGGGAACCGGGCAGCCACTGAGATGCTGCCTGTGCCATATTTCAGAACAGTGAGAACAGTGGTTGATTTGAGAATATTAAGGCTGGCATGACAGGCACTTACATCTCTGGCTTCTTACTTAGCTGCAAAGTCTTCTCTGGTGGCTTAGAAATAAAGAATCTGCCTGCAATTCAGGAGACACAGGTTCAGCCCCTGGGTTGAGAAGATCCCCTGGAGAAGGAAATGGCAACCCACTCCAGTATTCTTGCCTGGAGAATCCCATGGACAGAGAAACCTGGCGGGCTGCAGTCAATAGGGTTACAAAGAGTCAGACACGACTTAGTGACAAAAACCACCTCCAAAGCACCCATAAAATAGCACCATTTATTTCATTTGCTTTGGAAAATAGCAGCACCCCATGCTCTTTATTTTTGAGTTAATAATCTTATGTGACATTTAGGATATTTTTTAAGCGTTTTTTAAAACCCAAATTTGTAATTTAATTAAGAATCTTGAGATTTTATAAAATTGAGTCTACTCTACTTTGTACTGAAGCTGTGTAGTCAGGTAGGTTTTCATACCAGAGGGCTGCAGTGACATGTATGAAGTCAGAACTTGCACAGCTTTGCTGTCTCTAAGAACCAAATGGTATTCATCATTTGTAAAGGCTCTTAATGATTTAATAACATTCAACCATGTTGAATGTGTTCTCTCTTTAAGGTCGATTTGGTCAAACGACACCACCACTTGTGGACTTCCTCAAGGACATCTTGAGACGGTACCCAGAAGGAGGGCAGATTCTGAAGGTAGGGCAGAGTTGCATGCATATGCGCCTCCATGCTGGTAACCATGAGATGAGAGGTTACCAGGAAGTCCTGTTCGTGTTTGCATTTTAAAGCTTTGTCTAGATTTGAATGGCTGTATCTGTTTCCCTCTGCACCTGCCATGCACACGCTGAACAGGACGGCTTGAGATGCAGTTGGCATGAATGTATGAGGGTTCAGAGGCAAAGGGGCCCCTGTGTGCTGGAGTCAAGCAGTGTTGCTCTACAGTGCTTTTTTTGGGCAATTCATCATTTGTAAAGGCTCTTAATGATTTAATAACATTCAACCATGTTGAATGTGTTCTCTCTTTAAGGTCGATTTGGTCAAACGACACCACCACTTGTGGACTTCCTCAAGGACATCTTGAGACGGTACCCAGAAGGAGGGCAGATTCTGAAGGTAGGACAGAGTTGCATGCATATGCACCTCCATGCTGGTAACCATGAGATGAGAGGTTACCAGGAAGTCCTGTTCGTGTTTGCATTTTAAAGCTTTGTCTAGATTTGAATGGCAGTATCTGTTTCCCTCTGCACCTGCCATGCACACGCTGAACAGGACGGCTTGAGATGCAGTTGGCATGAATGTATGAGGGTTCAGAGGCAAAGGGGCCCCTGTGTGCTGGAGTCAAGCAGTGTTGCTCTACAGTGCTTTTTTTGGGCAATTTTATATAATTCCATATTGTAATTTTGTGAATTTTATGTAAAACATTGCGCAGGAGCGTTGCAAACCAACCAGCTGACCAAATAAAATAATACTAAACCCACATTCAGGGGCCATGAACCCATGCTTGACTGCTGGATTTAGAAGTTTGCTTTTTGGCTGAGTGTATTTAAAGGGATAATTGTTTGAGTTCAGTATTTGTATTTACGATATATCCTTTTAGTTTGAATACACTCATTAAAAAAACAAACTAAACAAGCAAACCTACATAAGACCCACTTGTGATCCAGATAGTGGGTTTCCTTTACTTATGTGTAAAGGCTTTTTACATATTTGAGGTGAATACAAGGTGGGCAGTAGATTACTGTTTTATTAAATATTACTCTTTCTGGTGTATTTCTAGGAATTAATTCAGAATGCAGAAGATGCTGGGGCCACAGAAGTTAAGTTCTTGTACGATGAGACTCAGTATGGAACACAGACTCTTTGGTCGAAAGACATGGCACAATATCAGGGTAAGAGTCAGTCGTTAGTCGGGCACGTTTTATTCTGTGTACTAACAGGTGACTTTTTGTGGTTTACAGTACAGCGTTCAGTGCACAGTTGCATTACCACCTCTCCTTCACTTCTCTGCATATTTAACTCCACTTCTTCAGAGGTTTTCTCTGCTTTTCATGGGCAAGTGTCTCTGCTAGTTGATATTTTTACAGAACAGAAAAGAATAAAAATCTTAAAACTCAGAGTAACAAACTATGTAAATACGTAAACCTCTTATTCTGTTCAGTAAACTTGTGAGCCTTTTATATCGTTAGCAAGACAGAATGGCACCCTTTCCAAAGAGAACACTCCTCTGCATTTGGAAAGAAGTTAGAGGCTGTGGTTTTGTGTCTTATTTTCTGCTGTGAGAGGTGCCCTTGTAATATTTTGAAGGGAGGTGGGAAGAAAGACTAAAGGAGAGAATAGAGTAAGGAGAATGAAAGGAAAGACAGTAAGAAACTGTAACTAACACAAGGATTCCTGAAGCCCTGCACTATGAAGTGCTGTGTTGAAAAGGGTATTCATCACTTGCAGAGCAGCTTTAAAGTCTACAGAATGATTGTGAATGACTGTTTGTGGTGGAAAGTCATTGAGGAAAGGGAAGATCAAGTCAGACTTTCCTGGACATATTTTTTAAGAGAGGTGTAAATCATATATTCTTTAAAAGATGTTTTATGATTTAGGAGGATAATCAACATTACTGTTAAATATTTAAATACTAAATATTTAGCATTTATGATAGCTCATATGTTTATTCTTGTGATATGGAAGTTGCATTTTATTTTTTATTCTATAAAGAAATGAGATATAACATGTCAAGAGGTTTTCATTCTAGTCCTGACTCCTGCCACCTCTGCTGATCTTGGGCAAGCTCAGTTTTACAGTGAGAGGATGAAACCAGTAGGTTTCCTGGCCCTGAGCGTCTGTGATATAAGCATTGTTGAAAGACACTCAGTGTAGATGTGACGGGCTTCTGTCTAAGTCCTGATTCTGCTTGGGGCTGCCCGTGCTCCACGTCCATGGGCGCTGGTACCCAGTGTCAGCTCTGCCTCTTGAGTTCCTCCCTGGGCCTGAGTGGAGCCTGAACCCGGCTGTGTGTCATGTCAGCCTGCTCATCCATGGACTGGCGAGGACACGGCCACCCCCAGTTACTCTGAGGGTCCCAGGAGCTCGCATGTGTTGCCACGCTCTCTGTCTGGCATCATTCTGCTGGTCGGAGTGTCCTGTAGAGCTGTACCTGGGAAGAGATCCTGGAGGTGTTTTGCTTCTCGGCTCTCTCATGTCTAGGAGTTTTTGCTTCCAGCCCTGACTTCACTTCGTTTTTAAAAAAAATATGTAAAATGATTATTTAGCTGAGTGAGTGATGTCCCATTAGACAGATTTTTAAAACTTGGACGTCCAGAAGGAGCTGGACATGATTTTGATCTCTTTGAAAGTGAAAGTTGCTCAGTTGTGTCTGACTCTTTGCCACCCCATGGACTATGGTGTTAGTTGCTCAGTTCATGTCCAACTCTTTTTGACCCCATGGACCGTAGCCTACCAGGCTCCTTGGTCCATGGGATTTTCCAAGCAAGCATACTGGAGTGGGTTGCCACTTCCTTCTCCACAGGATCTTCCTGACCCAGGGATCGAACCCAGGTCTCTCGCATCGTAGGCAGATGCTTTACCATCTGCACCACCAGGGAAGCCCTGGTGATCTTTTTAACTAACATCTATTGAGGACACTGTGCTCATGGTGTGTGAGGGGTTTTTCTCGCATTCAGACAAGAGTGGTGCCTTGGCTGGTGTCATCTTCTTGGGTTACGTTTTTTTCCCTTTTACGGACACTTAGTGTTGTAGATGAGAACTCTTGAGTTCAACTTGTTTTTGTTTCTTTTATATAATGAGAAAACAGAAGACTCAGAATGTGTCAGATGAGAGAGATCCAATGCAGAAAAATAAGAGATTTCCTGTTTCTCATTTTACTCAGGACTTCAAGGGTGTCATTAATTAGGAGTTATGAGTGAAGGAAGGGCTGGGGCTCCCAGAAGCCAGGGGCTCCCAGAGCCCACCCACGCCCTTCCTGCTGTATGGGACACACCATGATCTCCACGTGGTCGACCTTCCTGTAGTAACCTCATAGGCTTGGCTTTTTCATGTCTCTACTTTGACTATTTTACATGTCTTTTACAGTCATGCCATTTTTGTAACATAGATTATGACCAGCATCCCCATATCTGTGCTTGAATTCATAGGCGCATGAAAAGCATTATTTTAACATAGTTTCTTTAGTCTTCTCAGTACATTTATAGGTAATTCCATTTACAAAAATATATAAGTAAACATGTTACTTAGGGTCAAGTTTTACAAAGTAGTACACTGTGATTAATTTTCTTGTTTGCGCTGTTTTGAGAATCTAAGCACTATAATTTTTCCTTTTTGGATTTTGTGTCAACAATACTATATTTCTTCTGCTGGTTATTTTTACCATTAATTTGTAATTTCTGTTTTTATTGTGAGAACAACCAAATGGTGATACTGGATCAGTCACTGTTTTCAGTTCTTTGTGTCTTTTCATCAAATATGCACTATTACACAGAGGAAGTTTGTGAAGTTTGTGTAGGAGAAGTGAGTGTCCAGGCTTCCTTCTTTCTCAGCTCCTGCCTGTGCATCTTGACCCCCAGGGCCTGCTCTCTATGTGTACAACAACGCGGTGTTCACCCCGGAAGACTGGCATGGCATTCAGGAAATAGCGCGGAGCAGGAAGAAGGATGACCCTTTGAAGGTTGGAAGATTTGGAATTGGCTTCAATTCTGTCTATCATATAACAGGTGTGGTATTTGACTTTTCAGTCTTGAGATTCACAGTTATTTTAGCCTCTGCTTTGTATATTATCGGGTAAACTTCAGAGATGATATTGAATGCTGATGAAATTTCAGTGTATCTTGTGTTTTCTCTAGTTATCTTGGTAACCATATCAAATCTTCGTGTGATGTAAAAGTTAATGTCATCATTTCTGGTGGAATCAATGTAGTATAGTCAGTCATTTTATGTGAAGTTCGAGACTTTACATCAGCCTACACAAAATTGTTACTCCAAAAACTTTTGTACTGCAGATTTTTGAGTCAGGCAAACTGGTTTTCACAGATTATCTTGTACATATTTTTAAATAACAGGAAGAAGGAAATATAATATCCAATGGTACGTAACTAACACAGAGGAGAACTTTGAAATGATCTTGGTTTCTCACTTTCCCTATAGAAATTTTGCTCTTCTTAAACTTGAGTATTTTGATGATGACTTTGAAGTCATGTTTGGAATCTAGAAAGAATATGAGGTTTCTGATTCAGTTACACTAGGAAATACTTGTAACTTTTAGGGCTGTTCTTCTGGAACCAGAGTTCTTAGTATTTACTGTGGTCTTGTGATAAAACTTTTTAATGAAATCAGCACCAGTTATGGCTTAATTTGGAATTGTTTTTGCATTTTGAACTTGCAGGAGAAGCAGGGGCTGCGCTGGCAGAGTTCTAGCTGTCACTAGAGTAACATGTAATTGATTCCCCAAACTGGGGCAGTCCTGAGGGTTAAGAAGTGATATTATTCTCAGTCACTGGCCCAAATTGGGACTGCCCTGAGCAAGTGGGACGCAGAAGCATCCTCACTATGGCCCATTTTTAGCAAACCTATTTTTAAAATTGCATTTACAGTGTTACAATGTATAGTATTGTGTTAAGTAATATTATGTATTATGTTATAAAACTGATGAAGTCATTATGTTATGTAACAATTATGTGAATATTAATAGTCATGTGTTCAACTGTCTGTGAGTTATTCCTCACATCTGTGACATGCAGTGGTTTTTAAATTTTATGGGGGCACACTTGTGCGTTGCATAAGCCTGGAGCCTGTTGTCAGGGGTGTATTGTCGAGTCCCCTGGTGGCGGGTATCTGCTCTCACTGTGGGTTTGTTCCCTGTCTGAGAACCAGCACACTTATGTGGGATGGGTTCCTTGGGTGCTGATCTCTAATCCAAGGACTCGCCAAGGTCATGAGTTCTCTTCTCCAGCCACCAGGCTTCTCCTTGACATAGTTTCAGTAATGGGAATGCAGAGGGGACTGTGGACAATGGGGGGCTGTGGGCCAGCCTTGTTGACTGGACGTGGTGGTGGGCTGGTGGACGTAACATTTCCTACTGAAAATACCCCAAAGCTCAGGATTTGGTGCTTGTGATTGCCTAAGCCTGTGGTCGGTGACCCTGCGTGCCACGGGTGGACCCCACAGAGGTCTTGTGTGAAGGCTAGGTCCTCAAGTCACTGTCCATTTCAGACTCGCTCAGGATACATGCTTGAGATCACCTGTTCTTTCTCATTCTCTCAGAGAATCTGTGGTTGAAATTTTACTTTGCACACAGGCTACAAATCTGTTCTATTTAGTTGGGTTCACAAGGCTGTAGGGAGAGTGTAAATATCCAAATATTCCATATGTATTTTAATTAATTTAGTAAATGCTTGAAGATACATCTTAGGTTTTCACAAGAATCACTTAAAGCCTCTCAATGCCTGGTGCTTTTTGAACCTAAAGAGAAACCATTTTTTTGCATTCAAAGAATTATGTTTCCAAAGCAAGACTTATTTTTAGATAACTCTGTTTAGAATCCTTCAGTGACTCATACTTCTCCATGTGTAACTGTGCAGTGTAATTGTGATTATCAGCGGCAGTATAGTTCAATTGATGGTGATTTGAATTTTCCTTTGCAGATGTTCCTTGCATCTTTAGTGGTGACCAGATTGGCATGTTAGATCCTCATCAGACACTTTTTGGTCCACACGAATCAGGCCAGTGTTGGAATCTAAGAGATGACAGCAAAGAAATTAGCGAGCTTTCAGACCAGTTTGCGCCGTTTATTGGCCTTTTTGGAAGCACCAAGGAGACGTTTGTGAAGGGCAGCTTCCCCGGGACGTTCTTCCGTTTCCCGCTTCGGCGGCAGCCCTCCCAACTTAGCGGGACCCTCTACAACAAGCAGAAGGTCCTGGAGCTGTTCGAGTCCTTCCAGGCAGACGCGGACACGGTGCTGCTCTTCCTGAAGAGTGTGCAGGGCGTGTCCCTGCATGTCCGCGAGGCCGACGGCTCGGAGAAGCTGGTCTTCAGAGTGACGGCCCGCGAGCCGGCAGCGCCGGCGCCAGAGCGGCCCGGGGCGGTGGAGGCGCTGGGGGCCGCCCTCAGTGACTACTGTGAGCGAGTGCCCAGCGGCGGCGTCACGTGCGTCACGTACCCCGTGAGCATCTTCCTGGAGGACGGGGGCACCCAGGGCTCCCGGGAAACGTCTTGGCTGGTGTGCAACAGCGTGGGCGGCCGGGGCCTGAGCCCGCAGCTGGACGCGCTGGCCGACGAGCTGCGCTTCGTCCCAGTCATCGGCATCGCCACGCCCCTGCCGGGGCCGGCCGAGGAGGACGGGGCCGGAGGCGCGGCTGCTGGGTTCTCAGGAAAAGCCTTCTGCTTCCTCCCGTTACCGCCGGGCGAGGAGAGCCGGACTGGGCTCCCGGTCCACGTCAGCGGCTTCTTCGGCCTGACAGACAACCGCAGGAGCATCAAGTGGCGGGAGCTGGACCAGTGGAGGGACCCGGCCGCCGTGTGGAACGAGCTGCTTGTGCTGACCGTGGTGCCCAGGGCCTACGCCGCCCTCATCCTTGACGCCATTGCCCGCCTGCGGGCCGGCTGCAGCCCTGGGCTGCCGCTCTCGGTGGCCGCGGTCTATGGGCTGTGGCCGGATGCTGAGCGGGTCAAGCTGCCCTGGCGGCCTGCGCTGGAGCCGCTGTTCCAGGAGCTCTTCCAGCACGCGGTGCTGCCCTCCCTGGGCGGCCACTGGGTCCCCCTGGAGCAGGCATGCTTCTCGGATCTGGACGAGGGCCTGGACTACGCCCCGGCCGTCCTCTGCTTCCTGCAGCGCTCGGGGAGGCAGGTGGTCCGGGCCCCGGCCCACCTGGCTGCCGCCGCCCAGCTCGTGGCCTCCAGCGCTGGGCCGCTGACCCAGGTGACGCCTGCGTGGACCCGGCAGGTGCTGCGGAAGGCGGGCCTGGGCGGTGCCGGTGCGCCTGAGAGGCTGCACCTGCTGGAGTTCGTGCTCTCCGACCAGGCCTACGGCGAGCTGCTGGGGCTGGAGCTGCTGCCGCTGCAGAGCGGGGCCTTTGTCCCCTTCTCCTCGTCCGTGTGCGACCAGGACGTGGTCTACATCGCCTCGGAGGAGCACCCCAGGTAGGCAGGGCCCCCGCCTAGCCGTGTCGGTGTGTGTAAGGCCTTAGGGGGCTCTGCAGAGCTGCTCCATTAGAAAAGAACACACCGTTAAGTTCTTTGTGGAAGGGCCTCCAGATGTTTTTTATTCATTAAAAAGCAGTGCAAGCCGTCCTTGTTCCTGGAAATTCTAATAGCAGAACGTGGAAAAGAATGGCTACAGAGAGCTAGTAATAACTAAAGTTAGTCAAAAGTAAGTTATTTTGATGAAATTAAATTCATGAAAATACTCTACTCGGTAATCATAGCTCAGGATGCCTATTGACATTTCAGGGAATACAGTGCGTGTTTCTCTAAGGTGTTCCTGGGGCATCCCTGAGTTTGCATGCTGCCTCAGGGTTTAAAGCCACACCTGGATAGTACTGGATCACAAGGGTTGTATGTGATTTGAGATGTGCTTTATAACTTAGGTAAAATAGTGAGCACATGTAACTGGCTTGAAATTATATCACTGAACTTATCTACTTAAAATTGATGCATTTCTGTCACTTTTTAGGTCCCTTTTCCCAGGTCTTGAAGGACGATTTCTTTTGGATAACTTGAAGCCTCACCTTCTAGCTGCTTTAAAGGAAGCTGCCCAAACCCGAGGTATTATAGCTATTTTAGCTTTTTAAAAATAAATGTATTTACAAAAATGTGAACAATTTATGTGTTTCCTGTTAAGTTGAACGAGTATGGAATTGCCTATTGATTAGCAGCTCCATACAGTTCAACCTCATGTACTTGTGGTTTGAGATGTGTCAGTCAGGGATGCTGACATCTATCCGAATGCGAACGTGGTCCTGTGTTTAGAAACCTGTGTTTAGGGTTAGGGTGTGGCGGTGGTCCTCACCCCTGCACAGTGCCTCAGGGGCCTGCAGTGCTCCCCCATTTCTTTCCCCATTTTTGCCCCCGGCCTCCTCCCTGGTGGCCCGAGTGGCAGTGAGAGCACTGCTGTGGGTTAGGTGGACACATGAGGGGAGAGGGAGTCTGCCTGCTCTGCCCCCACACCACCTGCCTCCAGGGTTCCATGTGGTTGTGTTGGGGTGGCTTTGGGGACCTGCAGGTTGAGAAGTGACCTGTGCATCAGGGTCGGGAGGACTCCTGGGGCCGAGGCAGGAATGGGTGCCCTCTATTGGGAGTCCTTTTTAGGAAAAGACAGAATAATTGGAAGAAAAATCACTAAGGTTCTGTTTAACCTTATCTTTCAACTTTTGTGAGCACTTTTGTAAGACTGTTGCCTGAACTTTTTTTTTTTGTTTATTTATTCTTTCAGCCACTCTTTTTTTTTTTTTTAATTGGAGGATATTGAACTTTTTTTAAGTTAGATATTGGCCTGAAAAATTCTGGGTTTGTCCTACCAGGTAAGGTTGTAAAGCGTGCTCTTTGTGATGTGTCTTTTGTACTGTGTGCTGGTTTGTTTTCAAAGGTAACGGCTAAAGGAAAACTTGCTAATGTTCATGCACATTCATTCCTGTAAATGGAAGCAAAAGGAGTTGGCGCTTGGGGGACAGATTCAGGATGGAGTGCAGGGAAGCTGTGGGCAATGCGGTGTGAGCCGGAGGGCTCACTGCTGTTCCCTGTGTCGGGAGCTTTAGAGGAGCCTTGTTGGGAGTCTTAATGTGGATTCTTTCCTATGTCTCTGCCATTCTCTGCTCCAAAGTTTTACAAGTTCTTACTTCCCAAGTTCTCTATTATGTTCTTATGTAAAACATTACATCGCAATACAATGTACACACAGAAAAGTATACTTATCTTACACATAGGTCTAGTGGAATTTTATAATCTGAACATGCCCGGATCAGAACCAGAAGGCTGCCTGCCTCTCTGAGATAGTATTGACCACCCAAGGGCAACTGTGACCCTGACTCTCTACAGCACAGGTGGACTCGGGGCTTCCTGTGCTTCCTCTGGGGGGAATCCATGTTCACACAGTCTGCTGTGGTCACTTGCCCTGAATTTGGGATCATCCAGCTTGGTGTCAGCAGTTGCAGACCGTTCTTTCTCACAGCTGTGCTATTTCATTGTGTGGTTTCACTTTGTTTTGAAGAGAGAATTTTTGTTCATGTGCATTAGTTTCTGAGGTAGGTAGGGAGTTGGAAATCAGTCGAAAATTATTCAGAATCAAATCAGGTTCAAAGGGTAGAAGATCAGCAGGATAATGTTGGTCTTAATTAGAATTTTCAAGTACTCTGTGGCACAGGGCGTGGCCACAACCTCTTCTCTAGCCCTGCATGAATGGGGACCTATCATAATATTTTTGGGATGAGTTACATTTATCTACTGTTAACTCAGTAATTTGACATCTTTGTAAAGCTGAGTCTTCCCACTCTATGTGTTTTCCCATTTTCTCGTCTACTATGAGTTCTGATTTGTTATTTTGGAATCATCTATAGACTTGTATTTTATCTCTGGTTCCTGGTTTTACAGTAGAAGGGATGTCTTTGGTGTTATTGTCACCCATGATGTGCAGCTAGTTATCCCAGGAGTTGTCTTCACTGTCACTTATCTGGATTTAAGTATTAATATTAGCCTGCCACCATTGTGATTATTTAATCATCCTGGTCTCTAGCCTTTCTGGTGTCTTTATCTGGCCACGTGGTGAAGGACTGCCTCCCGGGCATCCTCCCTGTTGTTTTGTACCATTAGTTCCAGACAGAAATGTATTTTTGATGTCACTTTATCCCCATGAACAGATTTACTGCTTGGGAAGCATTATGGTGTAGGGCCAGTGGGGACTCAGTAATGACCCCTTTGCTTTCCTTTCCTGGGACCCCAGTTGGTGAAGGAAGACGCAGAGAGGAACCAGTGGGCAGACCTTACTGGTCAGTCCTGCGTCACTGCAGTGGCCATGGTCTTGGGGGCATGGCTTAGGGCACAGTGTGGGCCTGTACTCTGACCTCTAGGGTGAGATGGACAAGCTCACCAGGCTGGTCACAGGTAGCACTGGGGACCTTGACTTCCTTCCCAGCATGCCCTGCACTGCGGAGCTGCGGGAGCCATCCCAGGCATCCCTCTGGTCAGGGGCAGGCATCTCTTCCTACAATGAGAGGTCAGTGAGCCAGTCTTCTTGCTGATGTATGGGGCAAGAGTGTGAGAAGAGAGGCCGAGGGAGCTGTGTCTGTTGGGCTCCCTTTCTACAGTTGGGAACATCACAGATGTGAAATGTCAGTGGGCCTTTTTGGCTGTAAAAACAGATTATGTTTTCCATAGCGGCTGTACTAGTTTGCATTCCCACCAACAGTGTAAGAGGGTTCCCTTTTCTCCACACCCTCTCCAGCATTTATTGCTTGTAGACTTTTGGATAGCAGCCATCCTGACTGGCGTATAATGGTACCTTATTGTGGTTTTGATTTGCATTTCTCTGATAATGAGTGATGTTGAGCATCTTTTCATGTGTTTGTTAGCCATCTGTATGTCTTCCTTGGAGAAATGTCTGTTGAGTTCTTTGGCCCATTTTTTGATTGGGTCATTTATTTTTCTGGAATTGAGCTGCAGGAGTTGCTTGTATATTTTTGAGATTAATCCTTTGTCTGTTGCTTCATTTGCTATTATTTTCTCCCAATCTGAGGGCTGTCTTTTCACCTTGCTTATAGTTTCCTTTGTTGTACAAAAGCTTTTAAGTTTCATTAGGTCCCATTTGTTTATTTTTGCTTTTATTTCTAAAATTCTGGGATGTGGGTCATAGAGGATCCTGCTGTGATTTATGTCGGAGAGCGTTTTGCCTATGTTCTCCTCTAGGAGTTTTATAGTTTCTGGTCTTATATTTAGATCTTTAATCCAAGAGAGGGAGGTGGGAGGGGGACTGGGATGGGGAATACATGTAAATCCATGGCTAATTCATGTCAATGTATGACAAAAACTACTGTAATGATGTAAAGTAATTAGCCTCCAACTAATAAAAATAAATGGAAAAAAAAAAGATAAAAACCATATGATTATTTCAAAAAGTTTTTTTAAATAAATAAATAAAAGGAAAAAAAAACAGATTATGTGATCTTTTTGCTGACACAAAGCACTGTGGGCTTGTCTTTCCTAATTTTAAGTAAAATCTGATTGGCCATATTTGGAAGTACAACTGCACACAGTTGCATGGGAAGTGTTTTCTTTCGAAATGGGTATAGCCCCAACAAAATACCATCTTCCACTTCTTTCACATGTAAAATCCTCAGCTAAGTACTATGGTACTGCTGGTACTCTCACTATTTAACTCTGTCGCCTCTCATTTGCAGTTGCACGCTTCAGTTCAGTCAGTCAGTTAAGTTGCTCAGTCGTGTCCGACTCTTTGCGACCCCATGGACTGCAGCACACCAGGCTTCCCTGTCTACCACCAACTCCCAGAGCCTACTCAAACTCATGTCCATTGAGTCAGTGATGCCATCCAACCATCTCATCCTCTGTTGTCCCCTTCTCCTCCCACCTTCAGTTTTTCCCCAGCATCAGGGTCTTTTCAAATAAGTGAGTTCTTCACATCATGTGGCCAAAGTATTGGAGTTTCAGCTTCAGCATCAGTCCTTCCAATGAATATCTTCAGGACTGATTTCCTTTAGGATGGACTGGTTGGATCTCCTTGCTGTCCAAGGGATTCTCAAGAGTCCTCTTCAAAACCACAGTTCAAAAGCATCCGTTCTTTGGCACTCAGCTTTCTTCACAGTCCAACTCTCACATCCATACATGACCACTGGAAAAACCATAGCTGTAACTAGACAGACCTTTGTTGGCAAAGTAATGTCTCTGCTTTTTAATATGCTGTCTACATTGGTCATAACTTTTCCTCCAAGGAGAAAGCATCTTTTAATTTCATGGCTGCAGTCACCATCTGCAGTGATTTTGGAGCCCCCAAAATAAAGTCTGTCACTATTTCCATTGTTTCCCCAACTATTTGCCATGAAGTGATGGGACCAGATGCCATGATCTTTAGTTTTCTGAACATTGATATTTAAGCCAACTTTTTCACTCTCCTCTTTCAGTTTCATCAAGAGGCTCTTTAGTTCTTCTTCCTTTTCTGCCATAAGGGTGGTGTCATCTGCATATCTGAGGTTATTGATGTTCCTCCCAGCAATCTTGATTCCAGCTTGTGCTTCATCCAGCCTGGCATTTCTCATGATGTACTCTGCATATAAGTTAAATAAGTAGGGTGGCAATATACAGCCTTGATGTACTCCTTTCCCTATTTGGAACCAGTCTGTTGTTTCATGTCCAGTTCTAACTGTTGCCTCTTGACCTGCATACAGATTTCTCAAAGGCAGGTCAAGTGGTCTGGTATTCCCGTCTCTTTAAGAATTTTCCACAGTGAGTTGTGATCCACAGAGTCTTCTCTCTCATTTGGGGGAAACAAAGCCAACCTTGACTTTAGTTTGCTTTCTGTGTACTTCAGTATCTGGAGGAGTGGCATGTGCTTGTCGTCTGCATTTGCTCACCATCTGTTGTCTCTGCAGACACACTTTTCATTCAGTGCAATGAAATTTCCCAACTGAGATCACCAATTAATGACTTTTTAAAAATTATTAGATCCAGTGAAATTGTTTTGTTCTTCTTACCTGGTCCCCCTGAGGCTTTGCTCCTACTGGTCGCTCATCTTTGAATCCCAGGCTCTCTTGTTGTCCTGC